TAGCATGAATCTAGTATTAAGTGAATAGCGAGTAAACCTATTTCAATTACAAGTCCATACATGTAAAATCCTTTCGACATCTAATTTCCCGATTAAATCTTGGGTATGATTTTAGTCGAAACCCAAATTGATTTAATAACTATGATTCTATTTCATGTTTAGTAATTCATGTGTGAATCTCTATTCATCCTGCCTTGGCCAAGGACTTTGAATTACTAACTATGAAATACATAGGAAATTCTCGTATCTTCATACGTGTCGAATCCTTTGTTGGCCACTAACAAACTTCCATACATATTAACATAATACCCAAAATATCCCTTTATACGATTGTGCTAGCAACCAAAAGGATAAATCAAAGTAGAACGTAATATGCACAAAGTTACCATTGTGCCTCAAGTCTAAGGATTAGTCATGTACTATTGTAACATGAAAATTCTTATTCGACAGAATAATTAACTAAAATAATTCTTCATTAAGAATTTTCATACGGTCATGTTCAGTGAACTTGTTCTCTAACAAGCACCCACATATATGTACTTGCGTCCCACGCTAATGTTGATGGAATGCAACATTCTTGTCAAACAAGCATACATACTATGTACAAGTCTTTTATGGATTATTCGATATCCCTTTTCGAAACATCCATCGACTTGGAACTTTATTTAAGACCACATCTTTCAAGGTATGTTCCATGATCACCATCTCTATGCGCAACCATACCTTATAACTATATGTGATCTAGGGATTTTATCTTAAGTGCAAATATAGGATAAATGCTTACTCTTAAGATAAAGTAATGCCTTTTAATTAATATAATTCCAATAGATTGTATTTACAAGTAGAATATATCCAATCCAATTGGAACGCTGGGTATACTACTCTAACATTCCCGCGCCAACCCACAAGCGCAGCCGAGCCCAACATGCACGCCCTCGCGCCCAGGCCCAGTGCCGCACCTAGCAGACCTCGCGCCAGCCCAGCAGGCCGCGCCCAACAGCCAGCGCCAAGGCCCAGCGCGGGTCCGCGACAGCCCAACCAACCGAGCCCAATACTTGATGTTTTGGCCCAAATCTCTCATGGCCCAAGAGCTGCGAATATTAGGGACTTAATGAGAGACTAATTCAGCTTAATTAGCCCTAAGCAAATAATTAGCAAAGTCACAAGTAGTGGTCATTATTTTAATGTGAGTGCATGTGGGCTAATGAATATTTTAATGTCTTGGGAAGTCCCTTGTCCCCCACCCTTGTGCCAGACCTGACCAGATTCACTTTGTCCCTCATTGTGCTCTGAATAATCCACATTTGACCATGCAAAAACGTGCAAGACCTCAGCCCCAAGACCCCAAGTCCCTATGCGCATGGGTGAAGGCAAAGTCATGGACTTTTGTCCCCTACTCTCTTGCCTAGACATCTCCGCCCCTCCCATCTACAAAAGACCTATTCCTCAGCTTCAATTAAGCTCTTAGACCTTTTATTACTCGAGAAAATAGTGAGGAGTAGAGAGAAAAACCGAGACTAAGGCACCCAGCCCCTACGCGCGCGCCACTGCCCGGGGAAGGAGGAGAGCAAGGTCTAGCCATCTCCAAGCATATTCTCTCGTGGATTATCACTATCCAAGTGTTCCTTGGATTTTTATAAGTCATTTGAGTCAGTAAAGCTCGGCCAAATTCTACTCCAAGTCCACCCTAAGTCCCAAAGTCGAGCCTAGCCTCATTTTAAACCCTAGCACTAGTTTTCCATTTCCAGCCGAGGTAAGCTCGTGCCTCTTGATTTATTTAGTCAATTTATGATATAATATGATATATCATGAAGTAAAACTGAGCCATGCATGTGTTTAAAGGCAAGTTTCGAATTTAATTATTAAATGGCCTTAAAAATGAAAATTTAGTAGCAAGCATGCCTAAGTTTAAATTCATAGCTAAATCGCCCTCATTTATCATGTCATTGATGCTGAAAAAGTTTGAGCCTAATTGGAGTTTGTTTGTTCGGTCAAATCGTTCATGAAAATGTGTCATTTTGGACCCCCGAGCCTTAGTATTGTGAATGCAAGATATGACACATGCATTAGCCTACATTGTCCTCATTTTTGATGTAGAACATTCGAACATAAGTGGTTTTATAAGTTAAGAAAATTGGTTCGGAGAGTTGGTGTTCGTGTGTGCCATATAGGCCCTATCGAGTATCATGCACGTGGACCCGGGGTCCACTAGTGTTTCATAGCATATTTGTGCTTATTTTATCATATCATGATGTTGTGAGTTGCATGTCACCGGGAAAAGTCACCGGAGGTCTGGCAAGGGCCGGCCATGGCCACTGTCCGCGCACGTAGCGCGGCAGTACCCGACCCCGCGCCAGTCCGTGCCCGCGCCAGCGTGCGCGAGGTACCAGCGCCCGCGACAGCGCGCCAGCAGCGTGATGCGAATGTGGCTAGGCAGCTCAAGAATGCCTCAAGCCGGGCCTATCACGCGCGCAAGAGGTTAGCGCGGCAGAAGGGGGAAACACAGGCCATCGCGTGTGGGACATGCGAGGCGGGCGAAGGAGATCCGGCAGGTGGGAGCACGCAACTGGTGAGCGAGCGAAATGACGCCGCGATGGGGGATGACGCGCCTGTGACGGGTACGTTGGGCCAGGGCGTGACGGGTAGCGGTAGCGCGGCAGGTGCCGAGGACGCGCCCGAAGAGTTCGCCGAGGACGCGTGCGCGAGCGATACGCGTGACGGGCAAGCACGCGCGCTGAGGGGCGGCGCGACCTTAGTCCTAGAGGACTAAGGCAAGGCGCGCGGACGGTCGGGGTGTGAGGCGGCGAGATTAGGGCTAGGGTTTTTGACTTGATGTGCAAGACAAGATCTCCTAAGATTCTCCATATTTAGTTTCCCTTTTTGCATATGATTTCTAGATTGTTTAGGATACTTAATATTTTATTGCTTTACTAGACCGGCGGTCCGGCCAGTTCGACCGGCGGTTCGAGTCAGTTTTGATTCGTGATTTCCGATCCGAGTCTCTTTTCGGAATTTTTGTATTTTTCCGAGCCAGTCCAGTCCATTTTAATCGCGTAGATAAGTCCGAGCATTTTAGCATATAATTAATTATTCCGAGCATTATACTTAGCATTATTTTGCTTAAATATTTATGTAGCCTAAGGAGGGTCGAGCCTCCGACCGCTACCCAGTATCAGCACTTGCATCAGATTCCATGTTTTCAGGTGGGGGTCATGTATTGGATTCCACATCATAGATAATATCTGTACCATGGCAGAGGTATGTTTGAGACAGTTAGTATCCAGGTGGGGGCCGACCTAAGGGCTTAAATATCCCATCTGATGACCGGTGGGGGGCCGACCTGAGGGCTTTTATACCCATCGGCGTGTGCACACGAGCGGCCGACCTAAGGGCCGAGGGTCTTTTGACCACAGAAAAAAAAAAGAAAAGAAAAGTTTACAGTTTCAGCTCTTATATATTTATGTTCATGACACGTTATTATAGATGATGTATTATTCAGTACTGGTCTTTGCGGAGCATAGTGGTTTGCTCACGCCCCCATTGTGTTTTTCAGGAGACGGAGTCGAGCGTGCCGGATAAGCACAGATGTGGCGAAGCGTGTTCATGAGAGTGGACATATTTTACGCACATTTTTATGTCCTAGTTTATGATCATGTATTATATTCAGTCATGTATGCATGTATTCTGTATTTCGGATGCTTCCGCTAGCAGACCAGACAGTGCAAGACAGTTTAGACATTGCATGTTTAATTCCATTATCCGCAGCGGATAGCTTGGTTGCATGTTTCATTTATGTCTGTGAGCAAGTTAAGTAAAGTTTTTATCTGTGTCATCCCGCAACAAGTTAGTGTTTTCGAAAAACTAAGCTCGCACGACCTTTCGAAAATAAAAACAAAAATTTTACTCTGATTTTTCAAAGCTAGTAAGGCGGGGTGTGACAACAAATCTCAGATGAAATCCCATTCTCAGCATTGTTTGGCTAAGACATTGTCATTCTATTCTGTCACATGCTTTGAGCATGTCCAGTTTCACTGCCATAAATCTATGTTTTCCTGATCTGTGTCTGTTCAGAAAATGAAACACCTCTTGTGCTATGACTACATTATCACTAAGTTGTCTGTCTGGTATAAATGTAGCTTGAGTTTGTCCAATACAACAATGCAAACAAGATGTGAGCCTTGAAGCCAAAGTTTTTGAAATCATTTTATACACTACTTCACAGAGATTGATTGGTCTGAATTGATTGAGATTAACTGGATTTTGCATTTAGGAATGAGGGATATTAAAGTATGGTTCCAGTATTTTAACAACCTGCCTGACAAGAAAAGACTCTCAATGGCATCACATAAGTCACCTTTCAAAATTGGTCAAAAGTATTGGAAGAAGAGTGCTGACATACCATCTGCACCTGGTGCTTTAAGTGGATTCAAACTAAATAAAGTTGCTCTGATTTCTCTTTCACTCACTGGTTCTAACAACTCTTCATTCATCTGAGAAGTGATGGTGACAGGAATATTCTGTAGCAATTCAAACCTTCCATTGGACCCTTGAGTTGTGAACAACTTCTTATAGAAATCTGATACATGCTCTTCAAGTTCCTCCTCTGACTCACAACTTGTGTTTTGCTCTGTCACTAGTCTGGAGATTGCATTTTGTTTTCTCTTCTGGAGCACATATGCATGGAAAAACTGTGTAGTCTAATCTCCTTCCTTAAGCTAATGCAGTCTAGCCTTTTGTTGCCAAAAGACCTCTTCTTCACAGTGAGCTTGGTCTAACTCAGCCTGTAATTAGTCCCACTCCTCCCAATTTCTGTTGCCAGCTTCAGTTCTCATTTCCTCAAGCCTAAGTGTTAGCCTAAGCTTCGTACTGTCTCTTTCAGATTTGAAGAATTTACCCCACAACAGCAAAGCCTCTCTGGTTTTCTTCAATTTCTCCTTATCTCTGTACATGGGAGTGCCTTGTTGAGACTGATTCCAAGCAGTGGTAACAACTTCATTCACTCATTCCTTCTTCACCCACCGCTTATCAAAGTGGAACCTTCTTTTGCTTCTCCTTGAACCTGGGTTAGCTTCCACCACCAACATGAAATGGTCTGAGGCACTTTTCCACTGATTTGAGATGTGTTGTGTTATTCATTGAATCAATTTTGTAAAAATAAATAAATTGGCGGGCTTGGCCCGCCAAACCCGCAGCCCGTGGCAGGGGAGGGTTGAGCCTGCATTTCGTCCTGGCGGGCAAACTCCGCCTGCCCGTTTTGACAGCTCTACCAACAACAGGTCTCTAGCAACGCACAAGCAATTGAGGGAACGTGTTGGTTATCAAGCGTTATAGATACTCTATAAATTGATTTATCATTTTTTTATTTAAAATTTAAGTGTTCTTGCATTGATTATTCAAAGTTCTTGAACTCATATTATGTTTTCTTAATTATTTAGAGTTCCAAACTGCAACATTAATTTATTCGCCAAAATTTTATGTATTTGCCCACCATATACAAGTCGAGCAAGTTTCATTGTATTTTGGAGGCATTTGCCATAAAATAGTTCATTGTATACGGGACATTTTCATTTAATAGAGCGTATTTTATATACCTCGACTTGATTTTTTTATTTTTATTTTTATTTTTCTTTATTTTTTTACTCACAAGTGTGTGGCCCGTGCGATGCACGGGAAAACAATATTACGATTGTATTATAAATTAAATATATAAATAATAATAATCATGATTTATCTATTATTTTTAAATTAAACCGGGTTAGACACACTCCGATCGGATGGACCGAGAACCGGATTATAACCAGTATAGTTCGCTTGAATAAAATATTTACTCTTGAATCCATCAACACCAGTCGGTTGGACTGGTAGGATCGATACGATTTTCTAAATAAATTTTGTTATATTTAAAATTATCTTAAATAAAATAGAGATTTATAATTTATTTATCAATTAGTTTAAACATTTGAATTTTTAAATTGTTTAGATATCTAAGTAACACATTTTATTCGAATTTATTACAAAAAGTACTATATATATATATATATATATATATATATTAAAATGCTTATAAATTAAAATGTGAACAGACCATAAATGATTTAATAAAATAGCTTGATCGTTTCGATGACGGTTCAGTTCTGAAAACCTTATATTTACTGTACATTAATAAATATTATAATAAAATATTATTTAATTCACAAAAATATTTGATAAAATGATATACAAATATTCATAAATCATTAAACATGTTATCATAAAAGTATTGTTAATATGATTATTTGAAGTTTGGATTATATCACCTTCACGTAATAAAATATTTTCAATATAAAATTTATATTTAGGTTCAATAATCGACTTGGTGTGGTCGAACTGATACATAACTTAGTCACCTGGGACCAACCAACCTAAAAGTAATTCAATCAACCTAGGCAGTACCCTAATTCAATCACCCGATTGATTCAAAGAAATTTTCTTATTTTCTTTAAATATATTTAATGTTATGAAATAAAAATATTTTATGATTCATATAATAAGTGTCTACCAAATGATAGTATATTAAGACTATAAATTATATATCTAAAGATGAATTAATTATTTTTACTTTATTTTTACATAGTAATTTTCAAAAAGTTAAGATTGATTGATTGATTATGCAATTTAAAGAATATTTTAGCGTTCAATATTTTTTTAAGGGCATTAATATAAGGACCGAGATTCTGAAACTTTTGTTGTATTTTGAATTGAGATTTTATAAATATAGAGATAGAGATTTTAATGTTGTTCATTGTTTATAAGAAAAAAATAAAAATAAAAAACATCCACATTTAATAAATCTTAGCCGAATTTTTTTAATAATAAAATAAACTAAAGCCCGAAATTTAAGGTAGCATTTAAGTGTGTATGATTTTTAAAGAAAAAAATAAAAAAAAATAATAAAACTTACTATTTATAGACTGCATTAAATTCTAACCTATTTTTTTGCTATTATTTTTAGTAAATGGTAATTCTTATTATATATATATATAGATTTTCTGAAATTCTCATATATACTGCACAAATAACAAAATGTATGGTGTATAAAATATAATCTACCATTTGAGATAAAATATGAACTAATGACTTTTTTGAGTAGTTTGACGCTCCCACGAAGGAAAACCTAATTCCCCAATTTCCGCCGCTCGTCGCCCTCCTTAACTGCTCCGACGTCCGCCTTCCTCGGCGAAATCGTGGCTCCGACCGGTGGTAGCCCTCGGCGGCTCATTCCTCCTCTCTGATTTCGCGCGTCTCTGGCGGCTTGGTGGCTTCTCCATTCGGGATGGTGGCTACTCCGGTGGTCGTCTCCTTCTCCGGTTGCGATGGTGACTATTCCAGCGGTCTCCCTCGGCGGCTGTCCTTGGTGGCTGCTCCGGTGGTCCTCCCTCCTCTGTTCGCTCTGGTGGCGGCAGAGTTGCGGTCGGACTCCCGTTCTCCCGGTGAGGTGACGCGGTTCCGGTTGAAGGCTTCCTGGAGCTGCAGAGTTGTTGGTGGATGGGTGAATTGGAGAGAGGGGCGAGGCTCAGGCTACTCGTGGCGCTCGCGCCGGGGTGGTTTGAGCGGGGGGCCGACTTACTCTTCTCTCCCCGGTTCTCTTTTGGGTTCGGGGGAGCCGACGCAGCGGTACTCGGCTAGTGGTGTTAGGCGGGTGGTGCGGTGTTGGTATTGGCTAGTGGTGTTAGCCGATTGAGGAGTGTCGACTCTCTCTGGCTGAGGACGGGTCTTTAATGGTGTTTGGTTTCGGTTTTGGTATCGGCTTCAGATAGGCGTTAGGCAGTGTAGGTTGCAGGTACCGGGCCTTCGGATCTCTCCCTGATATCGATCGTTCATCTGCTGGTCTGACTCGATCTTTCTGCTGAGGAAGGGTCCTCTAGTTGGTTTTTAGGTGTTTTGTTTTAGTGTTTTTTTTTATGTGATTGTGTCCGTGTCTTTGTGTTTTTGGTTTGGGCCGTTGGCCTCTGTGTGCCTGAGTGTCAACTTGATTTCCCTGTTGGAGCCAGATACTCGGGTATTACCCTGTTGGGGTCTTTGTAATTTTTTTTTAGTGTTTTAGTGTTTTAGTAGTGTTTTTGAGTTTTACCCCGTTGGGGTCGGTTCTAGGCGGTCTTTTGGACTTGTCCTCCCACTTTTTCAGCTATTGGCTACGTGTATTCAGCTGTTGGTTGTCTGTATTAAGCTGGTGGCTGCTCTCTGTATTTTGTTCGTTTTTTTATAATATATCTATCGTTTTGGCAAAAAAAAAAAAAAAAAAA